GTTTTTTTCACCCTTTACCCTTTCTTTTTCACCCTCGACCCTTTCTTGTCAACCCTCCGCCGGCGAAGCAGGTAACCCCTGGAACCTGCGCAGAGAACGATGTCACCTCCGGTTAGTTTCACGCCGCGTATGTGCAGCCGCAAAGCCCGTAGTTGTCACCTCCAAAACTTCTTGGGACCAACCCTTCAGAACCCTCCGGAAACTGCGCAGAGACTATCCGGAACGACGCGAACCGGCGGAAACTGCGCCGGGACGCGAGGCAGCCCAGCATCCATCCATGCATCCATCCACCAACGGAGTGCCCACCAACCGACCAACCAACGAAGAAACAACGCGGCCAAGCAAAGAAACCAAACAAGCAACCAACGAACCAAGCAACCAAACAACATAATATCTCATCATAACTCTGTGCATTGCCCAGTCCTTGGCAGGGGAGGATTGGTCTGCATTGCGGGGGGAGGCGTTGCGCCCTCCCCAGTGACACAGCATCCATCCATCCATCCATCCATCCCGTCAAGCACTGTATCACGCAAGCAATCACGGCAAGCCAACCAACAAACCAACGCGCCAAAAAGTAACATTCTTCTCCCTGTCCATGATGCATCCATCACTGTATGTATTTTCTCCAAACCCAAGCAGCCAACAAGCCAAGCAGGGCGAACCAACCAACACATCAACCAAAGGAAGTGGGGTAAAAAAGAAAGGGTAGCAACCAAACTCTAGTTTCCCCAAATGCTGTCGATACTTGCTTTGCGTTGGCAGCCCACCAAGCAACCAACAAACCAAGCAACCAAAGCCACACCACCCTGTGTTTTCCCCAAAGGCTGTCGATATTTGGTTTGCAGCCAACCAACCAACACACCAAGCAAAGGAAGGAGGGTGAAAAAGAAAGGGTCGAGGGTCAAAACAGAAAGGGTAGAGGGTGAAAAAAAAGGTTCGAGGGTGAAAAAAAAAGGTTCAGAGGGTGAAAAAGAAAGGTGGAGGGTGGAAAAAAAAGGGTGGGGTGAAAAAAAAAGGGTTGAAGGGTGAAAAAAAAATGTTGCCCCGCTGCCTCCAGACGTTCATTGATTTGCTGACTGCGAAAACTCAGAATTGCCCTTAGTTTTGCACACACTAATAGTGATGAAGAGGGGAAATCCAAAACAACTTCAGTCAACAGATTGCTAGATGAGCGCTCATGCATGGCGGGCGAACACATCACAATTGATCGATCTTACTGGGGGACAGTGGTTTGATTTAAAAAAAAAAACGGTTTTTTGAAACGAACTTTGATCGAGACTCGCTTTCAGCTGCCTAATCGTCTGTTTTATCCTTGGAAGTTTTCCGAGCTTTGAATCTAGAGGGCTTTGCAAAAGTGTAGCCGGGAAGATATCAAGAAAGGCCCTCATCAACTTTTACACGACGCTTGGATCAAGATGCACATAGCAAAAAATATTGCTATTGCCATTGAGTCTAAAACTAGCCTCATTCTAGTAGCTAGCCACAATATGGACGTTTTTTCTGTCCGATGAAAGGCTAATTATAGGAGCAGTAAGGGTGGAGGTTGTACGTTGAAGCGAAGGAGCAAATGGTTGAGATGCTTGACAATTTCAACCTCTTGCTCTTCTCCTGTGCCATGGCCTCTTGCTTCCAACAAGCAACAGCTGACATGAAGTGCTTAGCAAATGTTTCAAAAGGTCTTAAATAATCTGATTTCACATGTTGTTTTTGGAAGACACTTTCAGACATAATTTCATCATGTAGCTCGATCCAAGGCACACGAAGCTGAGCGAGCACAGTTATGGTTGCAGTGTCTTCGTGAAAGACATGAGCCCAACTTTCAGAGCTTCTCGCACCTTTTTGGCAAGCAAGTGAAGCGGTGAAAGCAATATCGGCCATTGTCGCTCAACATGGGCGTTTGACACGTACTGTTGGAAAGGTTTGAACTATGGGGTCATGTTCCCAGGTTCACGTGCACTTGTAGTCCTATGTCCTATGTGGCATCGCCACACACGTTTTTTTTTTCACATCATATAGTCACAGAGGGGTCGGCAGAGTTTTGGGTGGATCGGGGTTGGGCGGTGTGACATGAGGCACGTGATGAATTCTTGTGCGGCAATTGCTTCTACAAGGCCAGGCTTATCGTGCTTACACTGAGGCAAAACGACAGTTGTGAACACGTGCCGTCTTCGACAGGTTGCAGTTGTCGAGTCATTTCGAGTCATTTCGTGGCCGATCCTTGAGGACCACAGAACACTATTTCCAAGAGATGATTCGATCGCAGATTGAAGCAACTGCCAATGAGCCGCTGAGCAAAAGAGATCTATTTTCTTGAGATATGTGTGTTCTTTCTTTCTACAAGGCTGCTGAACCATTGAGCAAGAGAGAACACCCTGATCACAAAGTTCACAGAGCATTAGGTCCCTGTACGTGTTCCAAGTGGAGCGAGAGAGGGAATCCTATTGGAAAGAAATCGCGCTTCAGCAATTGGAACAAGCTCAAGTCTACATTCCTTAAGCTTCTTTATTTGTCCTTTTCTCAATTGCTTTTTCCAGCGGAATTTGGACCACGTCAACCTCCCTTGTTTCCTGATACATCTCTTTCTTTCCTCGTCACCTTCCATGACAAGGTATACAATCCTTCTGCGCGCTTGTGGAAAAGTTGGTGACTCACGACGGGCTTCCTGCTGGATTTCGCGTATGGAGGAGGCCAGACGGAATCCTACGAACATCACCTGTGTAGCCGTGTAGACTGTGAAACTCCTGGCATCGCTACTAGGAGCAAGGACGCTACTAGGGGCTCCCTGGCATCGCTACTAGGAGCAAGGACGCTACTAGGGGCTCCTGGCCTTACTACTAGGAGCATTCTTGCTACTAGGAACAAGAAGCTACTAGGGGTGTTTCTTCTCCACACCACTTCGTTCAGCGAGTGCTTTTCCACAAAAAGAAAGGACAGGAAAATACAGGTCTGATTACTACAGAAATAAGGATCATTGAACCAAAACAACTAGAATGAAAAACAGTATAAAGGCATATATAGTTTCTTGCCACTCCGTTTGGCTACTACTCCATCTCGGACAGTGTTTGTTCGCTTCTCCTGCTACTTAGCTTCCAAATCGCATTGCCCCCCCGCGTAGAAAAGAGAGAACACCAAATACAAAGTACCACACTATCAGTTTATAGGACAGTAAATCTATGCATACTGCATACATATGTGATATTACAAAGATGGTCAAGTTGATCTGGCCCGAGGCCTTGTCGGAGTACCTGTATTAAGAAAGCGTCTAGCATGGCATTCCAGAGTGCTGCTCTTGTAAGGGCATGGCGAAACCCACGACCTTCAAGAAGTGTCCTACTAGACGGGTAGAGCATTCCAGTTCCAAGAGCTTCAGTGTTCATTTTCTTCAGGCCTGTGTAGAGGTGGATGTCTTTGGCTTGAATGCTTTACTGGCAGCTCAAGCTGGAGAAGCGGACCACACAGCTGCGCTGAATTTGCTGGATGTGACTCGACAGAAGGTAGCGCGGTTGTGGCTTCTCCTTGGGATCACATGGTGAAACAATGCTTGCTTCAGTGCTTTTCCCTTGACTAGCATCAGGATACTCCAGCGAAGTCAATGCTTCATGGTGCACATGCAATGATGCAAGTGCTGAGGAGATGTGCGCCGGATCACAGAATCATGGCGGCACCTATTTTCGTAGAAGGAAGGTGTTCTTGTTACTGCAAGTACTAGTAACAGGAGGTTGCAAAGAGAGATGGTTTCGTTCTCCCAAATGGAAATCACAGAGGCCAAATAGCAAAATAGATAGCGTTTCACTTTCTGCTTTCCCTGTTTGGAAAGTTTGGGGTTGAAGGTTTGCCTTTCCGTTGAAGGCCTGCCATGCCGGATGCTGTGAGCTATTCGTACGTGGCTTATGCTTTCTCCACAGCTGCATTGTCAGCCTCCAGGCTCGAACAGAGGGGAGGGACTTGTGGGACTTTCTTTAGACCTTCTTTGCATGCCCTTTGCTCCTAGCAGTGTCCTTGCTCCTAGTAGTAAGGCCAGGAGCTCCGAACGTAGCGTTTGCATGTTGGAACTTATTCATGTTTGTTCATTGCATCTATTCTGACCTTTTGACCTGTTTTGTTGCCTTACTCATGTTTGTTCCTTTGCTCCCGGCCTTCCTCGTTTCCTTTGGACCTTCAGTACATGTTGTATTCTTGACCTTTTTTTTTGCTCTGACTCTGAGTTGGCTCCAACTTTTTTGTGTCCTGAAGCAGCTTTTGGATGTTTGATAATACAAATTTTGTCCCTGTCTCTTAAAAGAGATGAATGTTGCATCCCCTTGCTGGCAGGCGACAGCTGCTGCAGAACGCTGTGCCCGGGTGTTTGAATTTGGGCTGGACAAGTAAGAAGGATCGACATGAAGAAGTCACGTATAAAAGCACGTCTTTGTTGTAATGGTTCCTTCCCGAAGGCAAACGAGTGAAGTAGCAAACATGTGATTGGTCATGCCGTGGGGCTGTTGGAGGCCTTAGGTTGGAGGCCATCGCTACTAGGGTGGAGGCCATCGCTCTTAGATAGGAGACCATTGCTAGTAGGTTGTCAGACAAAGCTGAGGAGGATATTCTGCTTCGTAGCCGGGCTGCCATGCTGGAGGCACAGAATTCTTGGAATGCGAGGGATTAGTCAAACCAATTGAGTGCGGTCAGGGCACAAACGGCACAAAGCACTCATCCACTTTTCCTGCCATTCAATTAAAGGCACTCATGCACATCAACATACCATCATCTTGGATTTCTTTGGCAGGAAAGAAGAAATCAAGATAGGTCTAAAGGTCCAAGTCCAAGGAAATAAATAAAGACTGAAAAGTCTAAAGAGAACAAACACCAAAATACAGAACAATAGAAGCGTTCTAGCCACCAGTAAGAAGAGGAATTCATCCAAGACCTATGGACAAAAGGCGAGACATTTGGTACTGCCGTTTGCTTGCACAGGTGGATGGCAATGCCTATCGTGTCTTGCTTCGCAGGAGCGCACGCTTGGGTGATGCTGAACGAGCTGGTCGCCTTTGGCGTGGCTTGCCTGCATTTGGCATCTATTTAGCCCCTTACATCGGGCGTTGGCCTCCAACCTAGAAGCCATGGCATCTATTTAAAGTTATTTAATTCCATTTAGCCCTTACATTATGATCATTATGTCCCACTTGTATCCAGCAAATCTGAGGTGACATGAAGCTTCTCGACCACGATCCTGGCACCTCTGCTCTTCTTGAGGTGGGGGCACTTGCCATCCAATCAATGCTACGACTCAGCAGGACTGAGTCGATCTCCAGGTGCTGCAGGCGGCCAGCAGTGCACCATTCTTGGGCCTGGCACAGGAAGCTTTTCAAGCTTTGCCCGCAACACATGAGAGTTGGAAGCTCAGCGAGACTTTGCTTCCAAGAAATTCAGAAAATCATCGAGTTCAAGAACAGATAATCAGCTCATCTATTAGTCCACAAGCTAATTAGTGCAAAGATCTGTCTTGGACAGAGCTGGCTGCACAATGAGACAACATGCTTTTGGGGACATTTATGTTTGAAGTTTGACTATCTCAGCCATGAGTCCATGAGATGTCATGAGTCATTGCAAAATGTTGCCCTGAGGAAGAGAAGACTCCTTGCTACTCGTTATACGGCCATTAGCAGAGCTTGGAGACTGGCGTGGCATTGAGCGCATGCTTCAGAGGTGAGGCAGCGAGCGGAGGAACCTAATAGCAATGGCCTCCAACCTAGAAAAAGATACAAGAATCAAGACACATCAGTATGTTTTTCATGTGTGTTTTCCATGCCATGTGTGTTTTCTGTTTGAAGCCTTGCCTGGCAACTCGTAGTGAAGCACTGGGGACAGAGCGAGAGCGATTTCAGGTGGGGTCCAGGACCACAGACGGCTGCAGTGGCGAGGTTGCAACTGCAAGCACTTTCAGAAGCGGTGCCGAGGACAAGAGAAACACATGGACGTTATTGGGCAAAACACAGGTACAGTAGATAACACGACAAGTAACTAAAAGAAAAGAGACTGTATGCTTTTTCGTTAAACAGTTACACTTGTAACAGTTAATGAATAACTCAACTAATACGTCTTTATTCTACTCTTTTCTTTCCACAAGAATCCTACTACTTAGCCAGAGTCACTGATGCTGCTTTTGCTTCAGGAAGCGTCAACGAAGTATGGAGGCTGCCAGCAAGCTTCTACTTGCGGGGGAAGGCATTTTGGGTGAGCAGCTTCATTGCAATGGATATGGGCCGGCCTTTTGTCCATGCAAGATGCTGCTGATGTTCAGTAAATATGAGCAAGCATCAACTGGATGAAAGAAGACCCACAGGATGAGAACACCAGCTGAGCATGGCTTGTTTTTCGAGAATCACCAGCTTGTTGAAGGGAGTCAAATCGTTTCACCAGGCTGCCCCATAGTTGTGCTTCAAAGAAAGAACAAACAGATACAACTTACAACACAAAAGCTAATGGACTTTTTAAATCTCAATAAAATCCATTGTCAAGAAAGCTAGTTGGTGGAGGCCATCACTATTAGGTTGGGGGGGCCATCGCTACTAGTAGCAAGAAGCTAGTAGTAGCTTCCAGGGCATCGCTACGCCTGGCATTGTTACTAGTAGCAAGAAGCTAGTAGGTTGGAGGCCATCGGTCCAAAGAGGGGTTCCCGAGGACAGCGGAGCTCCTCCATAGAGCCTTGGGTGGCGGCCGAAGCAGTGCGTCGGCAGCGTTGCCAGTACTGCTGGGCCCACTGCAGCAGAGGCGCTTGAGTTGTGAAGATGAGTTGAAAAGGCAAAGAGGGCACAGGTTTTTGTTATAGTTTTTCGTCTATGTTGTCTCCTCTTAATTTTGCCTTTAGCATGTTTTTATTTTCTTCTTTTTGTGCTGGTGTGTTTCAATGGAACACCGAGAGAAAACACGCAGAGTAGAGTTTTGCAGAGTTGTTTTGCTATTCCGTTCGCAAACATGACGTCTAAACGAAGAATGGGGTTGAAATGAATAGGAGAAGCCTCAAACAAAGCGTTGCACGACAAACCTTTCTTGTATTAGGGCTTTTCAGCGCTGGTTGAATTGTCAAAACCACGCGACTTCTATTTTTGTCCGAACACTAAGTGCTTGACTGAGGCAAGCTGCGCTCCTCTGTGCCAGTCGGACAAAGGCAGCTTTGGACTTGAACGACCCTGAGCGAGCAGAGGGATGGGTACGCCGGTCATGAGCTTAGAGATTGGTGCATTTCATTGGGTTTGGGAAGACCAAAAGCACTAGAGTTTCACCATATTTCAGTCTGTCAGGTGGGTTCTGCTGCAGGACGCCTTGACCTTAGACCACTTTTTTCGGCTGGGAGCCAGCCAATAGTGTTTGGGGAACTGGTATTCAGTCCACTCCTCTCGTCCGAAAGCTGGCACTCATAGTGTCCGACCAAGGCAGGTTTTGTGACACACGAATCTGCGCGATATAGTGTGTTCGTGTATGTTCGTGTATGCCCTCTGCATGCTGGTTGGAAAGAGCATCAAACCGATTTCGTGCACCAGTTGCATTTATTTGCAGGCTTTGTTTTGGAGAGTGGTAAGCGGGCGTGGCATTGAGATTGATATGTACATGCAATTAATATGCTCCAAGATTGAAATGTAGATCTAGCTCACAGATTTGAGATCCCTCCAAGACAGGTGCTTCCCGCAAGATTTCTTCCAAACTGAAGACTCGGCATGCTCAACGGAGACCCGTAACAAAATCTTCTTGATGCATTTGCGATATCCTGCACCTGCCATGCATCTGCCACGCACTTGCCATGCCAACCGAACTTGATAACCCCTCAGAAAACGCGCAGAGAGCAAGAGGGAGAGTGCTGCCATCGCCAAGCGATCAGTAATCGCGTGACCGTTCGTGTGACTGTTGCTGAAAATGGAACTCCGTGCTAGCTGCGCACGCTGAAGGACACCTTGAAGGCAGGAAAGTGTTTAACTTCCACAAAAACCTCCAGCAACTTCGAAGGTCTTTGGAAGATGTTTTCAAGTTCAGAAGTAGTATCATTGAGCACTTTGGCCATTATTTGAGTACTTAGTCAGTTAAATACGTTTGTCTCTCGGATTGTTGGACTTCATGGACCTGTTCTTCCCCATCTGCGTTTCTTTAGTGTTACTAGTAGCTTTTTGCTACTAGTAGCAATGGCCTCCACCCTAGTAGCATCCTTGCTCCTAGTAGCGATGGCCTCCACCTAGTAGCTATCTTGCTACTAGTAGTTCTAAAGTGTGTTTGATTGATTTCAAGGACGGATCCTCTGTGGAAGACTTGCAGCCGAGAATGCCGCGGACCCTACACCGGCGTCTCAGAAGTAGGTGGCAGATGGAAAACGGCCGCTGATTTTATTTTATATAAATAAAGTTGAAGGACTGAAGGAATATCAAATCTGAGTCAGAGTCATATCATGTAAAGCTTTGCCACTGTTGGTTCAATCAAATTGGCTTGAGGCCCTAGCCGCTTGCTTCGCCTTGTATTCTGTCCATTTCTGACACCGTATGCTGAAACTATGGAACCAAACCAAAGGAGGCCTATGCATCGATTTGTTTCAGAACTGGTGACCACGATTTGGAAAAGACAACGGGTCAGAAGTAGCGAACATAAACTGACAGAAGATTCTGAATAGTGGCTTAAAACCAAGTGCAAATCCGAAACAGTCCGCAACCTTTTTGTTTTCGACACGCAGCTTGCGCATAAACAAAATTTTTCTTAGCAGTGATGGAATCAAAAAACAACTAAACCAACCCAATGATTTCCAATTAGGCCAAGAAGCCAGAACGACCAACAAAAATCATTGGTGTTTGCTTCTAGGCTTCGACAAATTAGACAAAGATACAATTGTATTTGTTTTTGTTGTGGCAGCCTCTCCAGTGCTGCAGATTGAGGTGAGCCATGTTCGGAAATGGGAGTAATGGCTTACAACCTGCTGTAGCCTAGTTATTTGTTGTTTTCTTTTCCAGGACTATGTTGTACTTTTCTAGAACTATTTCATATTTGTCCAGAACTATTTCATATTTTAGTAGATAATAGTAGATAGTAGTCTGAAAGACTCAAAAGCGGTAAAACTCAGAGTAAATAGTAAACAGTCAAACAGCAGTAGCTAATAAACAGCAAACACATTTGTTGCATAGCCCTTACAAACCCAGTTTCCAGCTTTTGTAAACCCAGGTGTGACGTAGTGACGTAGTAAAGTTCTCACAAGCTTTGGCCACCCGCCAGGCATGGCCATGAATTTGCAGTCGGAAGAAGGAGATGTTTGCATGGATTTGTTAGATGTACCTTGCCATGCGTTGAATCCAAACCACCTGCCTTTGGGCAGAAAGGCAAAACCGCCCAAGCAACTTGGACCTGCCATGTCACATGAGAGTGTCGTTGTTCGGTTTTCCTGGTATCGGTATGGGTAGAGAACAAAGGGGAAGTCAAGAGGAATAAGTAGTCATCCTGGAAAAATGAAGCAGTTCAACGAAAAAAAAGAGAGAGGCCAAACAAATGAGCCACAGCAGGTCGTAAAGTATCACCACAAGCATGTTGAACACCATGAACATCAATGCTTGTAATGCTTCAGGCATCTTGCATGTCAGAACCGATTCTAGCCTATGTGGCTCATGGTTCGGATGGATGTGACTATTTTGGGCTCAAGCTTGAAAACTCCGATTTTCCGGGGATGAAGCTGGTGAGCTCCACTTCGCCGCATGGGGCGGCACGACGAGAAACGCAGATCCTACGGCGAGGAGAAGGAACGAAGTCCTCAGCGATATCGTGAATCAGCGGAGGAGCGAGGCTTGGCCGCGGCAGCCCGACTGGCCGCGGCAGTTGCTGCAGCGACCCACGGAGATCCCAAGTTTCGTTTGCGGCGTCACAGCGCCATTGGATGCTCACCCTCATCACCTCAGGCTCCTTTTCATGCTTGGAAGGAGCCCAAAGAGAAATCGAAGGAGACTCCGAAGGAGAACGGCCGCAGATGCGAGCACGACGAGAGGCGCGACGAGCGGCCCGAGCGGCCTGAGAGGCAGCGCCGGGCCTCGCCCACGCGGCCGCCTCGGGCTCAGAGCGCCCGACGCCCGGCGCGGCTGGATCCTCCGGCACGTGCCCGGTCAGCGGATCCGCGGCGGCGCTATGAAGCTGCCTTCGTTCCGGAAGGAACAGAGGACGGGCGCTAGTAGGGGCTCCTGGCCTTACTAGGAGCAAGGACGCTACTAGTAACAAGAAGCTAGTAGGTTGGAGACCATTGCTATTAGTTTTTGGAGTCATCAGACAGCCATGAATGTCATGAATCGGGTTTAGGCCCAACAGGGCCTGTAAGGCTCTATAGGGTGCCTGTGATGCATTTGCAAGACACATTGGTCCAAGATCTTGAACTTCTGGCAGGAAGTAGCAGCGGAGGTGCCACCCGTCCAGGCCCTAAATTGAAAGAATGGCCAGCCTTCATGAACTTCATGTCCAGAGCATTCTCAAAACATGAACACACGTATCTCGGCACTGTCGGCGGGAACCGGAAAAACAAAGAAGGAAGGTCTAGAGGATTCTAGAGGTATAGAGAAAATGAAAGACACAAAACATATAGAAAAGATGAGCTGAGAAATGGCCTGTTGAGGTTCTGGAGTTCAAAGCACCAGCTCCTCCGAGCACTGCAGGCAACAGTTTTTTCTGAAGGTAAAAAGCTAATTAACGAGATGTGTTTTTGATATGTTTTGTTTTGTTTTCCGTTTTTTTTACAGATAGTGTTTAGATGTGTTTAGCATCACCTCATTCGTCTCAGAGCTCAGTGTGAGCACTGTTGGCTTTTGTTCATCCTTGTTCGTCCCTTTTCTTGTCAGTGCTTGGCAGGCACGGCTCAGAGCCCAAGGCTCTGGGGAGGGTTCCACGGTTTCTAGATGCTTCAAGTGAAAGCGAGTCCAGTTTTTATCTCCAAAAATGGTGCTCTTTCTCATGAGCTTGCAGCTTTTTGCTTTCAACAGGAGAGACTTGGTGTTTGTTGTCCAAAAATGATTTGGAACTGCTTTTGGCAATAAACACTGTGAAAGTCGAAAACTCGGATGTTTTTCAAGTCTTTCTCTTCAGGCATGCAGCCCGGAGGAGCACTGGGCACATCTTGACGGCAGCAGTGAATGCTGCGGCAGGACGGCGAAGCTGCACAAACATGTCGGAAGCCTAAGTGGTCTTGGGATGACGTCGCGAAATATATCTAAGTATACTACTCGTACTACTGATTGTCTTGGCGCACTACAATCTATCTACTGCTCACTCTCCACTTTTGACCATGAACTACTGTCGTTGTTGCTGCTAACGTAAGCCTTTCTTGACTGTCCTTGCTGCGAAAGGGCCTTGACTGACAACAGTTTTCATGGAGCATGACGGAACAGTCGAGGATATCAAGTCAGTGCGCTATTATGTATCAGACAGCAAGAGTAGGAAATTGTGAAGTCTTAACAATCACAGCGGTTTGCCAATACTTAGGTCAGTCATGGACCAGCAGCCGAAGCCCTTCAAGAACTTAAGCAGCAAAATCTTCTCGGGCGCGTGCCCAAATGGATAGTTGTGAAAGTTTAAAATGTGCAAGGGGGGGGTTGCAACGACCATAAACAAGCGGCAAACGTGTGTATAGTACAGTATAGTTTAAAGTTTAACGACCTGGAAGTTTTTTTAGGACCACGATTTTAGACATCCGGTTGCCTTTGTGGCTACAATGAAAGGCTGAACCGCAGCATACAAACATGAAGTTTGCAAGTTGTTGTTGTCTGGGAACAAAGCAAGGAACAAAGCAAGGAACAATCTCCGAGTGTGTGAAGGTACATCATGGAGAAGTTCCTTGGTCGCGGTGCCTCTGCAAGTGTTTGGGAGGCCATGGAACATCGTTTGTAAAAAGATCCAGGCAAAGATCATACACTCTCAGATTTGGTCCTTCGGTGTATCTCAGCACATGCCATCTAGAGTAGAAGGCCATCCGCAGCGACAATCATCAGCGTGTCGCAGTGAAGGCTGGAAGTATGGGCGACCTGCTTCCGAGTTGCTCCCAACAGTCGAATTTGACAGACCCCGACTAGGAACAAGGACGCTACTAATAGCTCCTGGCATCGCTACTAGGAGCAAGGACGCTACTAGGGGCTCCTGGCCGTACTACTAGGAGCAAGCTCGCTACTAGGAGCAATTACACTCCTTTAGGGCCTCCCTTGCTCCTAGTAGCGTCCTTGCTCCTAGTAGTACAGCCAGGAGCCCCTAGTGGATACTTTTGGGCACGTGGGCTGCAATTGGGGACTTGAATCTATACCTGCGCAGGTTTTCGACCAGGGACAGCGTGATAAGCGTCAAGCTCACCGGGAGGTGGCATGAGAATTTTTCATTGTGTGCAAGTATAGTGGGACCGACCGATATGTCTCGAGATGTGCACATGCCGCAGATGAAAGTTCTTGCTCGAGTGCGACATCCTCGAATAGTTCAGGCATAGCCTCGCTTCTTTTTGTTCTGTTTGAAGAAGGTATATAAATGAGCATTCATGTCGAGACAATTGTGGTCAAGCGCGAAAGCAAGCAACGATCGAGTAAGTATTGCCAGACATCATAGCCATTCTTTGATGTTTCATTCTCCAGCGTCACCAGGCCTTCGAGGTGGTCGAAACACCTCGGTTGGCTCAATTGGTTTGCGAGGTGCCATCCCGTCCCTTCCTACCTACAGCAAGGCACGCCTTTATCTAAATGCCTTCTTGAGGTTCTATACCTATATATATATAAATGTGTTTTATTCTTCTTGAGGCTGTGCGCCTTTGTAGGCAAGACATGCAAACATCATTTTGCAACTGTAAGACGGAACTCACACATGTTGAAGTTAATACTTGCAGTCGTATCACTCTCAGTATCACGATTGGTTTTACACTTTGACCTTGACTTGATTCATTTTGATTGTTCGATACACGCATGCTCAATCTGAATCGATGCATTTTCATTTGCCTGGGCAGTGTGGTTTTATGTTACGCACTGGAATGCTCACAGAACATTCCAGATTACCACAGCTTTGAGGGAAAAAGAAGAGGAGAAAGACTTCAAATGACATTTTTTGCACACCAGAGTGGCCCCACCTTGTTTGAGCGCCATGTCGTGGCTGAAGAATGCAGTCAGCAAAGTGGGCGAAAAGGCTGAGGTGTGAAATACGTTGAAATACAGAAACGGTGTTTAATCGCCAATGCAAATAAAAACACGACACAGTTCAGTTTGATTCCTTTTCTCATGTTTTCTCCATTGCAAATTGCTCCTCTTGTTCAGTCTTGCTCCCTCAATTCCGCTTGGTGATGTGTCAACTCAGATTGGTTGTCGATGTCACCATAGTCCTTGGATTGGACTTTTTGAGCAGGCCATCAAGCAAAGCGAGCGCTTTCAGAAGCTTCAGGCGCATTTCGCTTGCATGTTTAAAGGGTTCTTTTTGAGCAAGAACAGCTTGGCAGGAAAGAACCAGCGTGGTCGTTGCGTCAGCTGCGGAAGGTGTGAAGCGTGCACGCGAAAAGATTGGCCAGGCCCTTGTATGTCAAAACGTTCATATCATTTTTGACTAAGGGTTACTTGTACCTGCCGGCGCCAGGAAAAGCTAGGGAGTGGTCACCCAACGGGGTGGTGCAAACATCAGACACTCTTGTCAGAATGTGGGAAGGAGTAAAAGTTCTTCCCTTGTGATGCTCAGCATCATTTTCAGTAAAAAAGATGGAGAAGAAGAGGAGAGAGCACAATGTCAGTGAACGCTGCCATCCCTTCCACCCCATTGCCCAGGCTTACCATCATTGTCACCTTTCATAAGCAGTGTAGAAGACAAGCAGACTGTGACAATGATGCTACCATCCCTGTGTTCCACCCTTTTGACATTATAGCTCTTAACATTGAACATGTTCTCTCTCTCTCTATATATATATTTATTTATCTTTATATAACTTATAGTTTGCTATTGGGTTGGAGGCCATTGCTAATAGGGTAGAGGCCATCGCTATTAGGTTTGAGACCATTACTACTAGATACTACTAGTAACAAGAAGCTACTAGTAGCTAGAAGCTAGTAGCTAGAAGCTACTAGGGGCTCCTGGCATCGCTACTAGGAGCAAGGACGCTACTAGGGGCTCCTGGCCTTACTACTAGGAGCATCCTTAATACTAGTAACAAGAAGCTACTAGTATAGAAGCGGCCATCCTTTTTCCACCCGATTTTTACGAAGGACGGAGGACCTGAGACCTGAGGTCGACCCGCCAGCGCCATCGAATTTGAAGCGCAATTGGAGAACCGAGCCAAGAGCACTCGCAACCTGGCAAATGAACGTGACATGCTGCCACACCATTCCTTGCCAGCACTTGGCAATTAAGAAAACATAGCGAAAGTTGACTTGGATGAAATCTGAAATGTTCAATTTGGTGAAGAAATAGATATTCACACACACATTTGGGACAAGCTCACCTTTTGAACAGCTCTTCAGTTGCTGCAAGACCAAAAGGTACAGTGCCAGCAATTGCAGAGATGCATAAGGCGCATCATTGTCGTGCTTTGGGAAATTGTTTCTGTGGTGTGTCAAGAGTCTCTACTTATTTTTACGATCAAATGGTCGAGGATTCTCAACGCCAAATCCTTGTCGAACCAGAAAGTATGGATGGTTTGTGCGGTCTCAGTGCTTATCTTGGCACTTGCAGTCATGGGCGCAGAACATTGTTGCCTCCGTCAACAAAGAAGGGCCTCGCGTGTCTCGCTTAGACCTGACGTGATGGTCATATTGTATTTCATCCGAGTTTACATTTGAGGTGTCTGAAGGAGAACACGAACTCGGTTTCAAGGACACGGTCTCGTAGGTCTGAAGTTTCAGAGTGTTCGCATGCATTTGAGTTCGTCACGCCCCCTCTTGCTACTTTCTATAGAAAGTCCTGTGTCGTTTTAAGGCTTTCTTTAAGACGCTTAGGTCCTGCGAAATCTGTGCATCCAGTGATATCTAGTGCATTTATGTTCTTTTTTCCACTCAAAATCGTCGGTTTTATCTCTTGCCTCAGGAGATGTTCTTGCAGAGCCGAGCTTTGGAGAACAGCTTGGAGGCGAGGCGTTTGCTGCTTTAGTGGATGGACGGAGAACAAAACGGATGCGGTTTTACACCGTTTACCTATGCTGGGCGGGCATGGCGAGAAGATAGAGAAGAGAGAGAAGAACCTGCTTGAACAGTTTAAAGGTGAGCCGAGTAGTTCTTTTTTTGTGTCATGAGTGAATTCCCGAAAGCTGGAAATTTCTAGCATGTGGTAGTAGGAGGTAGAGGCCATACGTGTACTGCCACATGAGCTGCCTAGAGTACTCCCAGTAGTGTGGCGTGTGGCGTGTCCAGGCATAAGCAGGGGGCGGAAAGGTCCTTCTCTCGTAAGGTTCTGGAAATGAACCAACCATGCAACAAGGGGCAACAAAGGGAAGCAACAAACTTGCTGAGGTTATTGGAGGTCGAAAGCGTTCAGCTGAGTCTGTTCGTTGCTGGAGGTCATCATTTCAGAAGCTTCACTGCGCGAGGCCAGATACGGTATCACTTGCTAGACCTGTTAGCTTCTAGCTACTGGTAACGATGCACTTGTTACTAATAGCGATGCCCTTGTTACTAGCAGTATTATCCATGCTGCCAAGAGGGCGCAAACAATCGCCAAGGCTTAGCTGTATCCAACTAATTTGTCGCAAATGTGTTGCTGTTCAATTCGAAGATGGAAAGAAGTTGTTGATCACGGCCACATTAAGCTTTGGGGAGGATCAACTTTAGTTTTGCATAGCGTCAATCAGTGGTTGCTCAAGAGCTCTTGCAAAAACCTTCTAAACCGGAAACCCTCTGCCGACCGCAGCACTACACGACTCTGCCGACTGCAGATGACACTCCAGTGGTCTCGACCTTGCCTTCGATGTTCATGAAGCAAGAAATAACCCAAACCCAACTGTTTTGCTTATTGAATCCAACTTTGATTATTTTTTTGAAACAAATGACAAAGCATTGCTTTACTTGTTTATCTACCACTTGCTGCCTGAGGCTTATTTACATGATTTGCTGTCAAAGACGCTGGCGTCACGACCTTGGTGACAGAACATCCTCCGTGTTGGTGACAACGAAACAGGATACAAAATGATTAAACGAAAAAGAACAGAAGTGACAACTACTATGTTGTTTGAACATCTCAATTGAGTTTATTAGACGATCAACGATAAGTCATTATCATATCCAATTGTCGACTTGGAGAGTCTGGAGGTTTCCAGCAGTTCAGTGGCAGGGGCTGATCCAGGCCAGAAATGTGCGAGCATTGCTGCGAGCATCCAATCTATTTGTAATGGGAAGCTAATTGGAATGGCCTCCAACCTTTTTTAGCAATAATGCTCCTAGTAGCGATGCCAGGAGCCCCTGGTAGCGTCCTTGCTCCTAGTAGTAAGGCCAGGAGCCCTAGTAGCGTCTTGTTCCTAATAGCAATGGCCTCCAACCTACTAGCTGTTGTGAATTAGCCTAAATAGCCCAGGTGGCCATGAGTGGAGTCTTGTCCAGCTTTTGGCCCAGCTGCTGATACTAGTCAGCAATCAAACCACGAAAGCTGAACTCAGGTGAAGAGGTGGCCTGGATCCTGTCCATCGTCACAGCCATGAAGAACGACTGGTGGTAACGGCAAGTTTGTCCTTGTGATACCTACTAACAATGGCCTCCAGCCTAATAGCGATGGCCTTGCTTTAGGAGGGATGCCAATGTGTCTTAAGTGTCATGAATAGCGATTTGCTTTGGATCTTGCATGGCATTTACGCTGCGATTGAAAGGACTTGCTTGCAGACAGAATACATTGAACCTCAGTGGAGAAGTTTTGGAGACACTTGATGGGAACACGTGTAACGACTTACTTGTAACTGGAAATCTTTGCTTTGTAGCCTGAATGTGGGAGTATCATCCAGATAACTATCAACAAGACGTCCAAGCCAACTATACCCTAGTGTTTCAGTGGTTGCTTGATGACACCACTTCCCTGCGCAGCCATGCCACCCTCATCGCAAAGCTCGATGGGAGAGCTCTCGTAATGCTTGGGGTGCTCAATGCGGCAGCGCCGACACTTCTATTTGTGCCAACGGCTGAAATGGCATATGTTTTACATCGTGTTACTGCTGGCCTTGCGCCTTCTACCCCTCACGAAAAGGTTGGGACCTTGGGGCATTGAGGAAACTGACCACTTAGAAATAGCTAGGACCTTAGGACGCTCAGGAAACATGGGATGGAACTTCCAACTCTTTGTGAGAATCCTCTACGGCCCAATTTATTGGACAAGAAGTCAGGGCCAATCGCTGGCTTTAGAAAAAACAATTAGTTCTCGGGCATTTCGATACACGTTGCGTGTTCCTAATTTGCTAAGGTGCCTTGCAGCAAGCATGGCTTTTGTCACGAACAAGGCTCTGAGCCAATCGGTTTCATGTACGCAACTACTGCAGATCGCATGGAAACCTGTTTACTGCGGTTTCGAATGTTTCATTGAAACTGCAAGATGCCTCGAGCGTATATTTCATCACCTCTATTGGTTCCACCTCGGCTTGCTGCTTTGTGGGAGGTTGGCAGCAGCTGGGTTGCCCCTTCAGGCACTTCCACTTCAGGTGCTGTTGCTATCATTTGCTATCTTGCCCGTGCATTTTTTTCGGCAACGTCCAAAGTGTATGAAAGTTCCACCCTAAAAGCCATGGCCTCCAACCTAATAGCGATGACCTCCTTGTCACAGCCAAAGACCACGAGGTGTCTCACCAACTTGGTCAAGACCACCCCTTCGGTCCCTTCGGCCAGCGAGAATGGCAGGCAACGTGTCTCAAGCTGGACATATGGGACATATGGAAGACAAAGACAGTTCTACTGTACATCATACTGTGTGATTTCATCAGTTCCTCTCTTTTGGATAAGTGCCATGCCCCTTGTGTTCATGTCTGACAGGCCGTGCCGCTTCTGCTCCAGCATGGTCAAGAACATCGACGCGATTGATAAAGAAGGCTTGACATCAGTTGCAGCACCTGAGGAAAGGAAGTCGTAAAGGTTTTCGACTAAAGCGACACCTTTGGTGTCTTTCTTTGTTGTGTCCACTTTGTGGTTTCGTAATATTTCTATGATTCTATGCGCCACGTGTTTCGTGTTTGAACCTTAAATGCTATTGCTTCGCGCATTTCTCATCTGATAGCATTGCTATTTGCTGCTGCGACCTCCCAATATGCCCCGCGTGGCCCAAGCAAGGGTCCCACCAGGAACCTCACCAAGTCAAGACTGGCCAGACAACTAGTTCCTAAGGACTACGACACTTCCTAAGTATTGTATATATATATATATAAGTAGTCCTTTAACGACTACTGCTACCACTGCTGCTGCTGCTGCTGCTGCTGCTGCTTGTACCACTTAATGGCAACCCGAATGCAGGATACCCGTCAAGATATCATCACGATACCCTTCAACGTAGCTTGATTGGGTGGAGGTGGTTTAACCATAAACTATTGAACATTGTTGAACCAGCTAACTAAATTTCAGCAATTCTTGAACTTTGTTGACGGAATGACTGAGCGGAGGCTTTTCTGTGCTTTGCCTTCGTGGTGCTCAGCGCTATCGGACCAATCTTATTTGATTGGGCGACTTGATATGCGCATCACATGTGCTTCAGTCAGAGTCAATTGCAAGTGGTCTCAAAATGAAGATCGATTCAGTTCGAGGTGAAACGACACAATGGTGGGATATTCCCATTCTCCATTCCCGCGCTGGTGTTCCATGCCTGGGCCATCGATGGGATCCTGGGGCTCACTTGGGCGGCATCACAAGGAAAAAAAGGGGCTTCGGCAGTTGCTGCTCAGCTGCAACCTGGTGAGGAAATTGCAGCCACCAAATGATCCAGTGTGTTTCAGCAGTTTCCCAGGCTCTTCCTTTGATCCGAACCGACTTGAGGTGGCGACCAGATATGGTTTGGCGTTTCTTCATTACAACGTCTCTCTTTGTGGCAGGCGATATGCTGCCCAGCTTTCGTCCAGACAATTGTGTTTTGATTAACGTGTTATAGCGTGTTCCTCTTTTGGAGACTTTGTTGAAAACCGAGGCTGAGCTTCATGTCCATAGCACACCTTGATGTGGGCACTTTCAGCTTGGTTGGCAAGGCGCGAAGCCATGGAAGAAATACACTTCAACTACAAGGGGTGTATGTTTAATTCTCACTAACATTCAAGTATTGTATTGTATGCCATTACATAACTTGCATAGTTTGAGCATTCTGAACCTTGCAAGGCTTCCTTTTTGTTAATCCTCTCTCTAGCCTTTTCATCGCTCATGTTCCTTGCAATTTCAGAATTGCTTCTGTTCCGCCGCCGAGGCTTTGGCAATCATACTGACCGTTTTGCTGTCCCGCGTGGTCTTGAAAAAGGGGCAGAGCCCACAGTGGCTTGGCATTTGGAGCTAGTTTGGAATTCCGTAATGAGTTCTGCAAGGCTGTACCGTTGCAATGCCATTCCAAGTGAGACAGCTTTTGCCCAAGGCAGTATAGCTTGGTGGTCGCTGTGGCGGTGGCGACAATGGTATTTTGCCAATCAGAGGCAAGGGAAAATGCTGTACAGCATTCAATTCTCAGAATTTGTTGCTTGCTTTTTTGTTTTCCTTTTTCAAGGAGCTGGCATCTCCGTGTGTTTAAGTTGCCAATTCCACTGTTTGGTAGGCTCATGCTCGTCAGATTGCTTCAAGGCTTTGCGAAAGGGTTGTTTGCAGAATTTGTTAGCTTTCAATGTGCCAAGACTTTGACCTCCAACCTAATAGCGATGGCCTCCATCCTAATAGCTTCCAACCTAGAAGCGATGGCCTCCACCCTACTAGCGATGGCTTTCAATCATATACGTTTCCTAACAATCTAGGAACCAAATGAATAGTGCGAGCGTGAGCTATCATGCCTCCTAAGTAGTAGCTAGTTGTTATACCGTTTGCTTCTACTAGCTACCTACCTTTAGCTACCACCTACCTCTTCTACCGGCCTACCGTTCTACCCCCCCTTTAAAATCAATATTTGACCAATGCCCTGTTTTGCATTGTCTCAAGCAGTTTTCACCTTGCGAGGGCTTCAAATGTCCCAACATTGACAACGCTGGAATGGTCTTTGGGCCTTGCCGAGCGGTCCCTGGCGGTCTTCTTCACATCACTAGGGGCTGTGCTGCAGGAGAATACGACGAAGAGAAATAATTTGAACAACTTAAAGTGCACTTATGGTGTGTTGTTTCATTCTTCAGACCATCCTATATGCTTTCCTTCCCATTCTTGTTTAGATCCTTTAGACTTAGATTAAGTACGATCTTTTGTTCATTTTCCTTCGACCATTGGGACCTCTTTGTGTTCCTTTGTTCTTTATTTTTGTGCATGTTTTATTATACATTCGGGTTTGCAATGTTGCTTTTCATCTTTTTTTGCATTGAGGATTTTGTGAAACGATACATCGAAACAAAAGACACAGTGCAAGTGTTTGCTCAATCTTGCTCATTCATGATCAAACCCTGTTCCTGATTGATTCTAGGAACAGCTGCTGACATTTCGCCCTGGCATACCATTCCTCGTCCAGCAGACTTGGATGAGCTTTGCAGCAATGAACTTGAGCCTCTTCACTTTGCGATTTGCGTATCCAGTCAGCACTGGGCATTTTGCAAGAAGGATGATTGCACTGGCTGTCATGCACAGCAGGATTTCTTGTGTGTTGCCAATGCCCCCCCTTTTAGCAACGGACAATGATCAATTTCGATCTGACAGGAATGGTTTGCCTTTCTCAGCTTTGACAAGGGGCTTTGACAATTGGCGCGTGTTGGTATTGCTGTTTTCCTATGTAGCGAGTGGCCTAACAACTGCTTTGATGGTTAAAAAGCTCGGTGCTGTAGCGAAGTCATTGTGTGTGCCAATCTACTTGGGTGGCTGCTATTTCTATGCCGTTCACACCGGCTCAGCAACGCATCTTGGATTTGCAGCTGGAATTACATTTTGCCATCTTTGGTCCTGTAGATGCCCCATAATTAGATTCAAGGGTTTTGTCACATTTCAGTTCAGTGCCGGAGTGTTTCAATGACGGTAGTGTAGCATTGATCGCAGGTTTACTTTGGAAGTTGTTGCAGCTTGGACAACGAGCACAGCCTGCATTCTCCTGTACGCAATCTCCAAGATGAAATCACCGGAGCCAAAGGAAACAATTCCAGAGAGCGAATCCGACCCAGAAACTGGCCTTTGGCAACGTGGTGTTGCTTTGCCTGAAAGACGGCCGGAGGGTGACTCAGAGAAGAGCTGACCAAAACTGATCAGAGTTGATGGGCTTGAAAACAAACTCCGTCACTCCCAGATTTGGGCTTTGGATCGGCTGTCCACGTTTGTTTTCCCGGAGTCGCATGACTCGTCCAACTGACCTGCTGCGCGGACAGCAAGAGATTTGGAGAAAAGATGAGAACATTGATCCCTGTCGCGAAAAAGCTCCTAGTAGCGTCCTTGCTCCGGTCGTAGCGATGCCCTTTGCTCCGTTCGTAGCGTCCTCTACCCCCCAAGTACTCGTTCGATGATGTTTGTCCCTTCTGGACCTAGCTGGACCTTGTGAACAAGAGAAGGCGCTATCTGCGCCAGGAACGACGAAATGCTGAGCAGCGAGCGAAAGGTGAGAAAGAGCTTGACGTCATTCTGTAAAATAAATTTACATATATAGGGTCTAAAAGGAACGAACTAAAAGGAAGAAAGGAAGAGACAAAACACAAGAGCAGTTCGGCGGAAAGTTGGAATAGAGAATTTGATTCTTTTTGTAACCCCGCCCGGTCTTGCTGCTGTCACCAGGACCTGGCAATGAAAGCTGAGGTATTGAAACAGGAGAGAAAATAAGACAGGAAACACTGTGGAGTTGGGAAAGAATCAAGAAACGTGTTTTTTCAACATTAATTCCTCTGGAGTGTGAGCACTGAGCGATGTGTTTGTTTGATGTGAAGCTAAAGCCCAGGAGCTGAAGCCGTTGGCATTGAGCGACACCGAGGAGCATTCCAAGAAACGTCCGCCCCCCCGGGAATGAGGCACATCGCTACTGGGTTGGAGGCCACTGCTAGCAGGATGGAGGCCATCGCTAGTAGGATGGACGCCGTTGCAATTGGGATGAAGGCCATCTCTATTAGGTTGGAAGCTCCCCAGTGTCCTTTCAGAAGGGACGTTTCCTTGCGGAACCTGAGCTTCCTTCGGTGGGTTCTTGCATTTCAAACAATCACATTAGGGAAGGAAAGCTCTAAAAAAAGCAAATACCACAGACAACATGAAAGAGCAACAAGAGGGAAAAACACAAACAAGAACACGTCGGACAGATAAAAGACATGTTTCAATTTCTAGGAACCAAGTCAAGGTCCATTTGCAATGAGAAGCGTGTCCTCGATTGAGCCACTGTTTGGAAACTTAGGTATCGAGCTCTCCACACAGCTGCCTGCACCTCAAGGAACCGCAAACGCAGCCCTTCAAGCGCAGCCCTTCAAAACTACAACTGGCGTCTTCAATGCTCCTGTTCTTCCTTTTTCTTGTGTTTGAGCATCAGACTGAGTGGGGGTAAGGGGCGTTTTCCTCTTGTGTGTAAGAAGAAGCTACTAGGGGCTCCTGGCCTTACTACTAGGAGCAAGGACGCTACTGGGGGCTCCTGGCCGTACTACTAGGAGCAAGTAGCTACTAGTAACAAGAAGCTACTTGGGGCTCTGCGCGGATGAGGCTAGGAGCCTTGCTGAGGTTGCAGACCTACCTGGCAGTGCAGCAGAACCTACATGCCTCTGGTGCACACCGGGATGAGGCTGCTACTCCTCGTATTTGTTACGGACATTTACGGACCGAAGAGGGCCAACAGGCGACTGGATACTACTAGCGTGGCACCTGTTACTACTAGCTTCTTGTTACTACTAGTAAGGCACCTGTTACTACTAGCGTGGCACCTGTTACTACTACCATGCCTGGAATACTTGACACATTTTCACACCACAAGTAGTACCATGTTTGGATGCAAGGTGCGGCAGATGCGAGAGAGCGACATCCAGCACGTGCTTCAGCAGGTTCAGGCGCATGATTGACACGGTGAGCTTTTGGAGAGGCATCTAGCTGACCGGCTTTCACAATGAACTGTAGTCTTATTTTGCGTTCTCATTTCAGTGCATGAACAGCATAGATTTGCATCATGGTAGAACAACTTTACTGCACCCTTCCTTCTAGCTCCGCATACAGTAGGCCTCCATGTTATTGCTAGGGCATTTTTCCAGTGCTTATTTGGGCAAAACTCGGCAAGACTGTTTGATTTCTGGAGGTACTGGTCTTAGTAGCATGGTTTTGAAAGATGGTATTGACGGTACGTAGTAGAAGTAGTATATAGTAGTAGCAGTAGCAGTAGCAAACCCCCAGAAAGAAAGAGTTCAAGAAAGAAAGGAATGACGTGGAAAGACAAAAGACGCAGAAGCGCTCTTGTTTCAAGGGGCACTGAAGTCCAAGCAATGCCTCGCAAGCTGGACGTGGTGTCTTTGTGGCCTCTTTGTTGGCACTGTTTGACTTGTGCAGTGCAGTGGTAACCTAGAGATTTGTCAATTGGGGGCAAAGGAGCGTTTGCTGTTTCTGACGCGTTTTCCAGCCAAAGAAGACAACCTTTGTTTCTTGGCTTGAACGCTTTCCTTTGCTTTTGTGACCTGTGTTTTCCTTTGGTCGGCTTTTCCCCAAACTGCAAAGCCTTTTCATTTTTTTACAAAGGCTGCACGAGTCGCCTCGCAGCTACCACAGCATTGAAGTATCGGAACGCGGTTGGAACGTAACGCGTGTATCCTGTGTACACGTGGAGCCAACGTCACAACGAGCTAGCCAAATCACCATGGATGAGAACATAGTAATGGCGCGGCCAATCGATACTAATCGATACTAAAAGTATATAATGTCTATATATTGTAACTAATTTTGCAAAACTTGTATGGTACTTTGATAAGTGGCCTGGCAGTGTGTGAAATGGCGGCAGCACCACCTTTTGAATCTTGGCGACCAATTGAAGCATGTTTCCCTATACCAATGCCCTTCTTGCAGGAGCATATTCTGCTTTGTTGAAGGTTACGTTTTCACACACTACCAGAAGTTTCAATAGACCCATGTGATCTACACCAAACAAAATGGTGGTACAGAAATTGTGCTGTGGATGATGACGTCCATATTCTTCTCTCGTGAGGCGCGGATGGTGAGTTTGCAGAGCCAAGCAGAGAGTTCCAGCTCTCAGCGGAAGGATTTGGAGGCGCTCTCTTTGTCTTGTGGTTTCATTCTGTGCGGAAAAGCGCCTCTCAGGCCATGAGGTTTAGGAACACATTAGATTGTGTCGGTGAACTCTTGATGGTCTGACTGAATCCCAAAGGCTCAAATTCAACTGATCGAAAGATCCGATTCTTGGTGTGCTTTCACGACGGACCCTCCTTGGTTGTGACCCACATGCGGCTATGAATCCAAAGCTGGGCAGGGCGAACTAAGCCAATCGCAAGAGAGCCTGAAGATGCAATTGTCGCATTTGGACGAGGCCGGCCTAAAGAATGCATCAAAGGTAGGCAAGTAAGCAGGAACATGCCCTTACTACTAGGAGCAAGGACGCTACTAGGGGCTCCTGGCATCGCTACTAGGAACAAGAAGCTACTAGGAACAACATACTGACATTCACTGAGCCACTCCTTGGACAAGACCTGGTGGGCCCAAGACCTAGGTTTCAAGTCCAACGTCCTTGCTACAGGTGCGGGCCCAGATCGACAAGGAGATCGAAGAGCTGGATGAAAGGAAACGTCAGCTAAGGACGTGGGGCTACGGGGCAGATGTTGTGTTATGTTCAAACTAAAAGTATGGGCTACACGATGGCAGGATTGAGTTGGACACAGTCTCCAGACAGTTGGACGAGGCAATTTCCACTGCATGCATATGGGTACATGATGGTACATGATTCAAAGAAAATTGAGTCATTGAGCCAGGCCCGAATGAAGCAAAAGGAACATATGGAGAAGTCGGACAAGTCTTTGCCTCTGACTTGCTCATGTCGTTTGTGTTATCATGTCATGTTGACATATGCTGACATGTGGATACATGTGTGGACCACCAAGGCATCGCTCCGAGCTGTACAATGTGAAGGCATCCATTCAGGCACTGGACATAATTACGAATGGACCAACTCACTCACTCGGGAGAATCTGTGTCTCCCAGCGATTGAGAAACTGAGGAGAAGATCAATGGAGCTGAAAGCGAAGCTGTGTCCTCTGTGAGAAGCTTGATTGTTTGCACACTGATTCATCTTAGCTTGACTTGATACAACTGCTCCAAGGGAAAGGAAAAGGAGCTGTTGGATCAAACCAGGCTCGGTTTGGGTTCGGAAACATGTGTGATGCATTTCTGATACGTGCAGGAAGATCCTGGAAGACTCTGGCACAACCTTGCAGTGTGGTGCTTGGAACATTGTTGTATTGTTTTTGTACAACCGATGCTGTGGACAAATGCTGTGAAATGCATGAGGACCTCGGTGCAAGAGCAACAAGGTGACCTCAAACAAAAGCTTGCCCTGCTCTCAGAAAATGCTCCACTTCATTGCGCTTCATGTAGACTATTTTGCATGTTGTAACTTAGTTAGGGAGTGCGTGAGCTATCCTGCGTCCAATTATATACTAGAAGCTAACTTATCAAGCAGGCACCTATTTATTTTCTGCAAGCAGGTCGGCAAAAAAAAGAGCTTTCAAAACGGATCTCAGGTGGACTTTCAAGAGCATTTCAAGGCACTCTTGGCAGATCACCTTCGCTTTTGTGAGGCACAGATAGCCGAAGGCTTCATACGTGTTGACTTCTTGAGAATCGTGGAGATGCGCAGGTGAAGGCTAGGCAGCTGCAAGCTCAAGCTGAAGCATCTGTGACGGAGGCGGCTTGAACACCAGTAGCTACGGGTAGCTGTTGAAGCAACTGGTGAGTTTAATAGGTGCAACATGCCCTTACTACTAGGAGCAAGGACGCTACTAGGGGCTCCTGGCATCGCTACTAGGAACAAGGACGCTACTAGGGGCTCCTGGCCGTACTACTAGTAACAAGAAGCTACTAGGAACAACATACTGACATTCACTGGGCCACTCCTTGGATCGTTCGCAAAGTCGCCTGTCGAGGCGAATAAAGAGTTGCTTTTGGCAACTGCACGTAGTGCAGAAGAGGCGTTTGAAGCTAAGTTTCATCGCAGGAACGCTTAGTGCAAGGATGCTACTATTGGCTACTACTATGAATAGCTGCTCTTTTGGAGATTCTGTGGCTGTGCTTGCTCCTAATAGCGATGCCAGGAGCCCCTAGTAGCGTCCTTGCTCCTAGTAGCGATGCCCTTTGCTCCTAGTAGCGTCCTTGCTCCTAGTGTTTTGGACCTTTGCTTGTGACTTCAAGGCTGGAGGAGTTCAAGAAGACCTACAGTAGCTACCTGAGCAGCCCTGAGCTGCAGGCAACCAATGCTTTTGCAGTTTTGTCTACAAAGTGTGCTTGTATTGTTGTGCCAACAAGACAAGAACATACAAGAAGAAACAGATGCACAAAGGGGGCCCCCTTACCTTCCTTTGATTCTATTCATATCATTGGTTCCTTCTTTTGTTGGTTTCTTTGTCCTTTTACAAGACGGCCGGCCGTCCATTGAAGGCCTTTAGCCTTCGTTCTTGAAATGCACCGAAATGAGCATGCGTCCTTGCTCCTAGAAGCGATGCCCTTTGCTCATAGTAGCAAAAGGAACCTAATAGCGTCCTTGCTCCTAGTAGGAGCCCCTAGTAGCGTCCTTGCTCCTAGAAGCGATGCCCTGTGTTCGAGTTTGTCTCATTCCTATCTCACATGTGCTGGCAAAGGCCCTTACAAACCACCAAACCATCTACTATTGGCGGTCAAGGAATCAATCCTTACAGGATGTTCCTTTCGCAGAAGCTTTCGAAAGGGCGATGTTCTTGCCAAGATTCTTAATTGGTGGGTCGAAACACTGCAGGCACAAATTTCAAGCCTTGGTGCTGCCTATGGTCGAACGCTGAAAGCTCTTGGGGTGTTGGGCTCAGCAATGAATGGGATTTGGCAAAGCATATCGCAAAATTCGGCGATGGGGTTCCAAGCACACTCATCAAACCCTGCCAATGTCTAGCGCAATTGGAAGATGATGTAATGCAATTGCCTCGTGCTACTACCCCTACTGGGCTCGCCTTAGTACCACTGGCAACTGCGATCCAGACGGCCTTTTTGCAACCTACTAGCGATGGCCTTTGTTCCTAGTAGCTTCTTGTTACTAGTAGTAAGGCCAGGAGCTACTAGTAGCGTCCTTGCTCCTGGTAGCGATGCCCTTTGTTACTCGTAGCGATGCACTTGTTACTACTAGCTTCTTGTTACTACTAGTAAGGCACTTGTTACTAGTAGCGATGCACTTGTTACTAC